TGTGCAGAACTAGTAGTTTGACTTTAGAAGTCATCTTCTAATGATTATTGTACAATATTATATATGAAAGAAACAGGAAAGTATCTACCGGCCCTGTTTGGTTCACAAGAAAATAGCCGGAAAGTAAATTCCGGAAAAATCTATATTCTTTTATTTGGTTCCGCTGCCGGGCTATTTTTTTTTTTTTACTTCGTAAGTTGTTTTCTTTTTAAATTTTGGTTTTGAGTATCGGTAAATGCTACATCTTAAAGGGGTTTATATGTGCACTCTTGGTGTTTAAGGATCCTATTATTTATACGAAAGAAAAAATGATCTTTATCTTTTGAAAAGATATTTATCCATTTATTTAATAAAATGTATTGTTGTTGATTGCATTGTTGCTAAAATTTTATGCATTTAAATTTTCTTAGAGACACAATGAATATAGATTGAAATGGGTTTGTGCTTGCAAGATTTTAAATTTGCAATTCAAACGAAATTGTTCTTGACGTAGCAATTTGTTTTATGAATATAATAGATTTTCTCTACTTCTCAGAGTAAGTGGATTTGAATATGTTAGAATATCATAATTATATAAATTGTTCACTTGTAGTGGTACATATGAACAAAAATAAACGATAAAAAGAGTTATATCGATATGACAAAAAACTCTGAAGGAATTACTCTTGGAGTAGCAACTTATTATCGTTTTATTAAAAATACCATTATGGTTTTATTTAAAGATTCACTTCCTGAAGTAAGTGAAAAACTATGTTGTTTTATGAGTCAAGTTATGATACTGAATCTATTATAATAATTTAGTAGTTACGAATAAAATTATGATTTTTCACCTGAAGTGGAAGATTAATAACAAGAACAATTAGAAAGTTGCTCCTAAAATAGCTATATAATTCTTGTTAGCATTGAACAAACTATTAAGTTTTGTTGCAAATAATATTATACTCGTCTAAGTAGGCCTACTGCATTTCTTGAGATATATACGATAATCATGGAATTTTATGGTGGACAAATTGAAGTCCCAAATATAATTCAAAATTGGTAGTTATACCAAAAATATTTCTAATCACCAGAAGTGAGAAATTTTAATAAAATAAACCACTAGAAGTTGGAAAGTTGAAGAGCAGAATTTGCTAAAAGATTGAATACTCTATAACTAAAGGGCAGATGTTGTCATTACATTATGTTGGATGAAATCTCCAGTAGAGAATTAGGTATCAATACCTCAACAAAATTATATGTGCTCATATGAGCATGAATATTTCAATGGAACGATAATGATTGTATAAACAAATACTCTCGAATAATATGTGCATTAGTCTCCATCGGAGAAATTATAAATTTGGCTCTAGAAGAGTTTTGAGATGTATTTTAAATTGAAAAACCAGAAGTTTCCTCCTCTTAATGCATTCATCATTGTCTCTGTAAAAGCAAGAGAATGGTAGAAGGGAAAAGTGTATTGAGATATATTATATTCTCCAAGGAATTAAGAATATAAATTGCTCTACCAACTCAACTATTTTTGAATATGAAAATTCATCATTGTCTCTAGTAGAGCAACGATAAACTTTGCTCTTAAAAGAACAAGTAAGATTATGTTAAGAGGAGAAATAAAAATGCACTACAATGCATAATGCCATAGCATGAATATTGAAATTTACAAAAGGTAAACTAGAAGTTTACTAGACAATAATGATAAGAATTACACATTGAGTGCCTGTAAAAGCAACTGTCAAATGGTATAGTAGAATCATGTATTGCATGTGCTGATAATTAAAATCATCACCTAAGGGAACTAAAATCCTCATATATGATTGAGGATGTGTTCAAACACAAAAGGCACCAATTATATGCATAAGACCAAACATGCCATTATAGATATTCTCCCCAACATTGGTTTTTGGACAGAAACCATACATATCCATCTTCAAATATTATATGTGCAGTTTATACTATAATTATTCCACCCCAATGTACATAAAGATGGAGCCTCCAGAAAATGTTAGAAATATATGTTGAATATTGAATGTTTGAGATTATTGATGTTTAATTAACTACTCGCTAGACTTGATCGTATTAGTTTGACGAGTTAGTTACTCCGAAAAGGAGATTTATTAACTGCTCGATTGGTTAATCATTATTTTAGCAAGTTAGTTATCCCAGCATCAAGGGGGGAAGTTAAAACAGTCGATTGAGAAAAAAAAAAGGACAACATCATTATATCATCAGATCCTCCATGATATGAACCTGAAAGTTCAAGAGATAATGTTTAAGACCAGATATTTAACTGATCGACATGCATTAATGAGTTACATGCAAAAGGTTGTTAATGTTTAAAATTTTATATTATGTCCTTGAAGGACCATCTACCGCTATTCTTTAGTTGAATGTCTATTTAATGAGTGGTAGAACCATCGATTCTAATGATAAAAATCTTCGTAAATAACAAATTTAAATCTATAGATGGAAAATACGAGTGATTATAATTCATAAGAATCTTTAAATTTGAATAGTTTCCCACAATGATGAATCAACTTCGAGAAGAAGTATAAAAGCATTTAGGAACTTTAATAATTTTTGTGATCTCAATATTAAAGAAAGATGGAATCGATCAGCAATAAAACGTTGACATGAAATTTGCTTATGCTGTAGCAATTAGTAAAATGAATGACAATAAGGATCATGAAATGAAAGTCTGTTGTAGATACACACATTAAACTTATTGACCATAATACATGAAAAGACGCAGTACACACTTAATTATTTGTGTTGTACATACACTTTAAATTGCTTGAAGCAATAACAGTTTTGAAATATACTGGCTAAATATTGTTGCGTGATTGTGCAAACGATTAATGAGCAACCGACTTATTGTACAAGTTTTTCCAAAGTCTGGATGTTAATAATAAAGGGATAAATTTCCTTGTGGTGGATGAAAATATTTATTCTTCTATTATTTGCTAAATCTGGCAGCAAATGGAGAAATAAAATGCGTCTAATGAATATAGTGATCGCTTGAAACAATACTTGATATTTGCCATTTGAAAATGGCATTTATATGAAATCCCTGGTGGATTCAATAAGGGACATGGTTCCAATTCTTGAGAAGATAATATGAAAGACTAGCGCAAGTAGTGTCTTCATGTGTCTAGACAAATATTTAGGAGCATATTTTTTTTGAATAATTTGGTCATTACCGTTTATGCACTTGATTTTATATGTGTTATTCGAATACGCATTTGTTTCTAAGGTGCTTGTTTGTGTTTTCTATGTGTTTTCTGACCATGTTATTTTGAAATATTGCTATGAATTTTTCATAAATTATGTATATCTTCGCTATTTTGTTAGCGCGAAACTTTTAGAAAGTGTGAGAAAGCTAAATCTTATTAAAATTCGTTACAGAGTTTGAATAGCCTGAACATCATTAAAACTCCTGAAGAGTTTATTGCGGTTATTAAAACTTCAAAAGAAAGTTCAAAAGATAGTTAAGTTGAAAAGGTTGCTACTTGCCTGAAATAAGAATAATGAAATACTTTGGGTAGAATCTCGGCCATAGTAGTTTGGCCTGAGTTCATATACATTTAACACCCGTTGAGCGCACTACACTGTGGTCTAATGGGCATAAAATCCTTTTTATAACCTTCTAATAATCGATTTGGTCCTGAAGTATTAGATTGTAATACTTATAAGTATCGGTTTATTACCTAAGGCATTAGAGGATTGTATATATAAACCTTCTTGGTATGCTAGTTATGTATATCTGTTGTTATAAAGGACTCAAGATTACACTAGTATATGAAGATGATCGTTTGCAGAGAAATCGAAGTAATCCGTCTATTATTGACTTCAATGGTGAACCTGGTCAACATATTGACATGTGGTGAGAAGAATATGAGTGGTGTACTCAACAAGGGGGTAGCCCCACGCTATACTCTTTTTTCCTTGATCGAGATTTTGTCCTAATGAGTTTTCCTGGCAAGGTTTTTAACGAGCCAGTGTTATCTCTGGAAATGTACTTTTTTTTCCTTTATTAGATTTTTATCGCACTGGATTTTTTCTAGTAAAGGTTTTAACGAGACATTATCCCAAGAAATGGACATCAAAAGGGAAGTGTTATAAATATATTAATCATATGGATGTCTAGAAGATAGAATAGTTATGTTAGGATTCCATGTATAGAGATAATATTTATTTAGAATTCATATTCGTTGATCTCTGTATCTACTTGCCTAAAAATAGAGGCTTGTCCCTATTAAATAAGATGCACCTGAATTCTCTTTCTCTTTCTCATATATCTTTTTCTTAGTTTATATTTATTTTATAATAAGAAACAAATTATTTGTTGCTGTGGAACACAGTGTCTCAGCAGGGGGTGTTGCCCATTTTTTTTGGTTATTTACTTATTTATATATTTTGGGTATCAAAGAAATTATTTGAATTTATTTGTTGAGTCTAACATATGGCTGTAGATGTAAATTTGAAATCATTGATCATTCGCTGTTGGAGTTAAAATGTGAAAACTTTTAGCATAATGTTTCTTTTGAATGTTTAATGGTCACATGATAATACGATGCTTAAAGCAAATACTCCCTCCGTCCCATAATTATTGTCCACTTTTACTAAAATGAAAAATTTTATTTTTTATCAAACTTAAATATATTTTACCTTAGACAACCGGATATACCCCTACATAAGTAATTTTTTAACCACTAAGATTTTATGGATAATGTTTTTTACTAAGGACAAATGTGTAACTTGATCCATAAAAAGTCAAATTGGACAATAATTTTGGGACAAAATTTTTTAGGCAAAGTGGACAATAATTATGGGACGGAGGGAGTAATTCTGTTTATTATATTGTACTAAACTCCATAAAAATCATGGATCGAACAAAGGTCCCCTTCTCGGGCTATTCAAGTAAAGGGGAACTCATTTGGATCGTATCCTAAGTCCAAAACAACTTTAGACTTCAAAGATATTTCAGTATGTCAAGATCCAATTGATCAAAGACAAACCTGTCCTGTAAAGACTTGATCACTACTATAACTAAAATTTATTGAATCCTTACCGAAAAGAAACCCAAAAAAAGAAAGAAACACAGCTTTCTGAGGCATCAAGCTGGAATTCACAATTTCACTGGGATAGCTTTTAAAGGCATTGCCTTTAGTACTGCAACCCGAACTTTTCTTCCATGTCCAAATCTTCCGGTTCGATCCCCCTTCAAGTTTCCAGTCAATGTTGTAAATCAGGGTGGCTAGCATTATGTGTACCATCCTGTAAGCCAGAGGAAATCCAGGACACATTCTTCTCCCTGAACCAAATGGAATGAGCTCGAAATGCATCCCTTTCACGTCGATTTCGCTCTCTAGAAATCGCTCTGGCTTAAACATTTCGGGTTCTGGCCAGATTGTTTCGTCTCTTCCTATATTATATGCATTGACCAAAATCTGTGTCTCTTTTGGCACAATGTAACCATTGATTTCTACATCTTCATTAGCCTTATGTGGTACAAGTAACGGGGCGGGTGGATGAAGCCGTAAAGTTTCATTAAGGATTGCTCGCAAGTATGGGAGCCTTGAAATGTCAGATTCTTGAATCACTCCTTCCTCCGATCCAATTACCTGATTGAGCTCTTCTCTAGCTTTTTCTATCCTTTCAGGATTACTACGCAGTAACTCTGCCATTGCCCACTCCACAGTAGCTAAAGTTGCGTCTACGCCACCCACGAATAAATCCTACAGTGAATTAATCTCAGTCTATAAATAACATGCATTAGAACAAGAGGGAATTTTGATCACGATGATGGTGAATTTATACTCACAAATAGCAAATGTTTTAGGATATCGAGGCTGAATTCAGAATCATTCTTGACGTGTTCATCCAAAAGGGCTTCCAAAACATCATTTTTCTTTGTCTCTGATGACCTTTCTCTGGCAAGCAGCCGTTCCTTTATGATGACATCGAAAATATCGAACAAACTTTGGCAGCAGGGCTTTGAGTTACGCATGATTCCTTGTGGATCAATCGATTCGAGGACAGGGAAGTAATCTGAAAGATTGGGAAGACCAAGACATGTCGAGACAGCGAAGACAACGTTCTTGATTTCTTGAGATGAATAGGTATCATAACTGGCAAAATCGCTTGAAAACAGCATCCTCGACATCAAGTTGAGAGATGTTATGAAGGCAGCTTCACCAATGTCAACAGCTTTTCTGCTGTTGCAACATCTCAGCACGTAATCCCGGCCACTGCGCCGAAAACATTTTCTCTCTACAGATTGTACGGATTTTTCGCCGCTGCGCCGAAACTGGAATCCAGGCCATAGAGAACTTGTGGTGGTCAAGTGTTTTAGCTGCATTGGGTATTGAACGACCTGAGCAGATATGGTCATTTTTCTGCAACACTTCCCTGGCAATTTCAGGTGATGATAGAACTACAGTTAACTTGCTTCCTAGCCTAACAGACATGAGAGGGCCATAAACTTTTGACAATTTTGCAAATGATTGATGAGGATTTTTGCTAATCTGATGAAGATTGCCAACGATGGGAAAGTGAAAAGGCCCTGGAGGAAGTTTGACAGATTTCGTGGACCTTAATTTTGAGCTTAGAACATAAATGCACAAGGAGATGAGGAAATAGAATGGGAGGGAATTCAGGTTGTTACTGATATCCATAACAGCTCTGTTCTGCTTCTGCATTTGGGGCCAACATAATACACATATTTATAAGGGGGAAATGCGGATAATGTACTCCCATCTAATAAAATCAATATCTAATTTGGTACTTTTCAGCATATAAATTATTCATCCACTAACGATATATTATTCATTTATCAAAATACAATTATTCATCTTGCAAAAACTACATATATTCTTCATTTTAGTATTGTTATTCATCTAGGATGGGATCATTATTCATCAAGATCTGCAACGTTATTCATCTTTGTGAATATCGTTAGTCATCCATAAATTTACTCATCCACATATTCAATTTTTTCAAAAATAAAATCCATCATTTTTTTAAAAAAAAATTCTCATAAAAAAAATAATATACAAGTTAACGGGATAAGCATTAAAAAAATAACAATTTGAAAATAAATGTGTACTAAAAAAAGATAAAATTTAGAGAATTTAATGCATGTGTAGTGTCATAAAATATGAATTACTTTTTATTATTTGTCGGCCCACCGAACTGTCAATATTCTCAGAGTTCCGGGTAGCATTCAGATGACTTAAATTGCTATAAACAATATGGCACGATCGAATTACCAATTTCTTATCATTAATGTTCATTGACAATTTTCAGAGTAGAAGGAAAGATGTCCTAACAAAAATAACTCCCCCAAATAAATCTAGTTGAATGATTGAGAAATTTTGGACAGAAACCAGCAAAACTAAAAGTAGAAAACCGGTGAATCAAACAAGAATCAAGTAATTCTTGTCTCTCACAAAAATAGTTAATAATAAATTACTTTATTTTTAATATAATTTATAAAATACAATATGTGCTATATTTCTGCAAAGGAAGGAGTATTTATCTTTTCTAAAATTTAACCGTTTTGAGTCGAATATGTTCACGTAGAGTATTGCAAATCACTTAATAAGTGTATGATGGAACTATAATTTGATATTTTTAATTTTTAATTTCAATTTCATATTATATCTGTTTCTTTTTTCGAAAAAAATTAATTCATTCAAGCACAGAGAATTATCCAATTGCAATTATCAATACCCCAAAAAAAAAAAGAAGAAAGAAAGTCCTAACACAGCTTGTAATACATTACAATTATATGTTGTATTTACAACGAATAATTTACATAGATTTATAACATACTGAAATATAGATCCAATTTAGAAGACACAAGGAGTCCACGAACATTACTGATTACTTTCTCTCTGCCGTTTCCAGTTGATGATACAATAATTGTTAACTTGCTTCCAAACCTGATAGACAAAGAGGGCCATGAATTTTCGACAACTTTTGCAAATGTTTGATGAGGCTTTTTCCCGATTTGATGAAGCTAGATTCTTGGTGGGTGGGGTTATTAAACCAAATTACTTATAGCTAAGTGATTTAAATGAGTCTCAATTTTCAGGTTGTAGTTCATTTTATACACGGAATAATGATTAATATTTTTTTGCTGACTGTGGACAAGTATATCAATTGTGTCACATTTAAACTTTATCACTGTCCGAGTCGTGTCACAAGCAATGTCCCCAATCGATGTGTATAAAATATAGGACAACAAATTAAGGTGGAAAATAAGCATTCCAGTGGGCCATTTCATTTTCAGCTGCCTAACTATCCAATAATTATCTCCGGTATGCATATAGAAATACCAAACAAATACTTTTTAAAGGAGTTCAACCAACAAACTCAACCTAAATTGATTAATCATAGCAGAAAATCATAGGAGAAAAGAAGAAGGTCGACGTTGCTGAAGTTTATGGATCGAATTTCATCTGAGAATGGGATGGTTTATTTATTAATTAACAGAACGAGAAAAAAAAAATAAGAAGGAGAAGAAGAAAAGGAAATAAAGATAAGGAAACAGTTGTTCTAATTGCGCGCAATTACGTATGCATCTTTGTCATCTGCCCCGCAGAGTGACTGCTCATCTATGTAATATAGGTAAAGTAATATTTTCCGCGTCCCGAAATTATTGTTCAGTTTGAATTTTTAATTTAATTTTAAATTAAAATAAAAATAAAAATTCAGACTGGACATTAATTTCGGGACAGAGAGAGTGGTAATTAGTACTCCATCCATTCCAAAATAAATGTCATCCTACACTTTGCACATAATTTAAGAAACTCTTAAATAGAGTAATAAAATTACTTGAATATCCTCAACCAACCCCATTATAAAATTGTCCACCAATAGCATCAACTCTTTTGAGGGTAATTTTGGAAACTTTTGACAAAAAGTGTATTGAAATGTGAGAACGACACTTATTTTGGAATTTCTCCATTTTGCTAAAACGACACTTATTTTGGAATGGAGGGAGTGCACATTATTTTCTGACCGAGAGAGATGTCACGAAGGCAGCTTCACCAATGTCAACAGTTTTTCTTGTATCACTCAACAAAGCACATAATCCCGGAATTCTTTGAGCTTTTCCTGACGAAGGGCTTGGCTGACATCCAATCTATGCGTCGAAAAATGTGGTCTTTCCCCATCCTACGCATGTTTCGCCATAGGGTCGAAGTTTCTGGGATCCAGGCCATGGAGAACTTGTGGTGATCAAGTATTTTGGCTACACCGGGAATCCAACGGCCGGCGCAAATCCGATCATTTTTCTGTACTACTTCTTTGGTGATCCTAGCTGATGAGACAAGTACGGTTAACTTGCTTCCTAACCTAATAGACATAAGAGGTCCATGATTCTTTGACAGTTTAACAAAAGCTTGATGAGGATTTTTGCCAATCTGATATAGAAGTGAAGACCCCGTTAGGTTTATATTGTATTGATATAACAATATTTATAATGTACATGATAATAATAAGATTACAACAATACCACTAAACTAACCCGAATATACATACATTAACATCCCCCCGTAATCTGAACGGGAGGTAAATGAACATTCTGATTGTCTCTAAAATCAGTAAAAAAAATATAAGGCAAGCCTTTAGTCATGATATCGACAAACTGATGAGAAGAGGGAATATGAAGAACTCGGATAGCGCCCTGAGCAACCTTTTCGCGAACAAAATGAGTATCAATCTCTACATGCTTCGTGCGGAGATTTTGAACAAGGTTAGTTGACATAAAAATGGCAATGACATTGTCACAAAACACAATCGTGGCAGTAGGCAAACTAATAGACAATTCTGAAAGTAGAGAACGCAACCAGCATATCTCAACAACCGCATTAGCAACAACTCGATATCCGGCTTCGGCACTGGAACGAGAGATAATAGGTTAGCGTTTGGAGGACCAAGAGACAAGATTAGAACCCAAGAAGACACAGTATCCAGACGTCGAACGACGTGTATCAGGACAACCAGCCCAGTCTGCGTCATAATAAGCTACAAGCTGATCAAACCTAGTAGGCGTAAGAGAAAGGCCATAATGAAGAGTATCCTTCAAGTAGCGAAGAATACGCTTGACTGCCTCATAGTGGGACTCACGAGGCTCATGCATAAAGAGATAGACTTGTTGAACAGCATAAGAAATATCAGGACGAGTAAAAGTGGCATACTGAAGAGCACCAACAATGCTACGATACTCATAAGGAGAATATCATCAACATAGAGCAAAAGAACAACCATATCTCCACCATGGCAATAAAAAACATAGACGAGTCGGACTTGGAAGAACAAAAACCATGCGAAGCAATAAACGAAGCAAACCGTTGAAACCAAGAACGGGGTGCTTGCTTTAGACCATAAAGGGCACGATTGAGCTTACACACATAGTCCGGATGTTGGTGATGAACAAAACCGGGTGGCTGCTTCATGTAGACAGGCTCTTGCAACAAACCATTTAAGAACGCATTTTTGACATGAAGCTGATGAATGGGCCAATTACGAGAAAGAGCCAAAGACAAAACAGTTCGAATAGTGGCAGGGAGAACCACTGGACTGTAAGTATCACCAACATCAATACCGAGGCGCTGAAAACCCTTGGGCAACAAGTCGGTCTTTGTAACGATCTATATAACCATCAGACTTTTCTTTAATTTGAAACACCCATTTTGAGCCAACCACATTCACATCAGGGGGTTTCGGAACAAGTATCCAAGGAGTGTTAACAATAGTACTATCTAAATTAAAAATCAACTTGGGTTTACGAGTACCATTCTTAGCACGAGTGACCATAGGATGATGAGGAAATGGAAGGTGAGCTTAAAAGAGAGGAAGGATTTGAGGAAAGAGGTGCAGAAGATGGTAAAGACTCCAAATTAGTAGATGGGACAACCGATGAAGATGGAGTAGGAGGTATGGTAGTACTAACAGAAGATGGTAGATGTGGCGAGGGAAAGGAAAAGATAGCAGGAGAAAGGGCAAAAGGAGTCAAGGGTGCAGGGGAGCGAAAATGAGAGCTAGGAGAAGAACAATGTGAGGTAAAGGAAACAAAAGGAAAGGTGTTCTCGTCAAAAACTACATGACGAGAAATAATGACCTTATTAGTAGCAAGAGAAAGACAACGGTAGCCTTTCTCATTAGAAGGATAACCAAGATAAACACAGAGTAGAGCGAGGTTCTAACTTATGACGGATTGTGTGAGAAAAATTGGGGTAGCAGGCACAACCAAAGGTACGCAAGTGATCATAGGATGGAAGTTTGTAGTGAAGGACCTCATAAGGAGTTTTATTGTGTAGGAGAGGAGTAGGGAGACAATTTAAGAGGAATATGACTGTATTAAGGGCTTCAACCCAAAAAGTG